AGAAAATTCAATAGATTAAGACTATATGGTTTCCGACTTCACCATAATTAACCCTGTTCAAATTCCCATAATTCAAGAAAATTAACATTCAATCCTTTACTGACAGTAATTTCTCTAAAGATATTATTATTCTTTTTTAAGCAACAATAATTTTAATCCAACAAGCAAACTCTACATCTCTGTTAGACTTTTAAACCTGTTAAAAATCATTACGTGTAAGAAATTTAAAAGAACTGCACAAGCATCATAGATATCTCTATCCTATGAACAACTCATGGTATTTCAATTAAGAGCTTATTTAATTATCACCTCTGAGTCTTAAATCAAATACAAAATCATGTAATCGTTGGCCAAACAATCACAAGCATTAAGAATAAATTGAAATACTCAGCATATATGGATTAAACATCAATTACTTAAAAAGAAGATTGAGAATCTAAACATTCATAATTCGGCTACATCGCAGCCCTAGAAAAAGAAATTAGTTCATCTCTAAACAAAATAAATTCCTAAACAAAGTCTTAATCATTGGAAAGGAAAGAAAAGAACTAGTTTGGAGTTGAATTAAAGCGTCTTCGTTTCGGGATTTTTACCATGCTTCTTCTCCGTACTCAATTCTCCTTTCTCTTCTTGAATCTCCTCTCAAAATTCAGCCGTCACTCTCCAATCCAAAAGTCCCTTTTAATTGCCTAGAATCATCTATGTATATGTTTTGAAGCATTAGGGTCAAAACGGGTAAGTTTTCTCACGATTGGCCTTCAAAAGGCGTCTTTTCTCGCGTTGTAGTGCTGCGACATTGAGTTCCTAGTGCTGCGGCGCTGTCTGTGCAAAAATTAATGCCAATCGTCAGTTTTTAGAGCGCTGCGGCGCTATCATGGGTGCCAAAACGCTACTTATTCTGCCCACATGTACTGGTTTCATAAAACTCAGCGCTAAAACGCTACAAATTGGCACCTAAACGCTGTGTTTGATGTCCTTTTTTCCACCACAAGTTGTCTAAAACCTTCCAAATCATAGACTTTTATCTATCCTTCAAACAAAGAACAAAAGTACACATAAAAACTAACAAAAACCTCAAAACCCAACTAGATATTAAGTGTAAAACGCTACTAAATGAGCGAGTAAAACTCACTCATCAAATACCCCCAAACTTAATATTTTGCTAGTCTTCGAGCAAAACAAAAATGAAAGAAAGAAAACTAAAAAAAAAAAAAAAGTAAAAAACACTAGTGATACAAAACATGAATAAATGAAACCTTGCTTGAGTATTGATCTGGCATTGTTTCACAAAAAAATGCTTCAGATATCTCACATAAGTTACAGCTCAAGAAATACTTTAAACTTTTAAAAAGTTTAGAATTTCAACTTGAATGTTAATCTCACCGCCACCTAAGACTCCTTATGTGTGTGTGAATTATCAATTACACATATCCAAATGCAACTCAGATGGGTTTATGCAATTAAGTGAATCAAGGTAGATCTCTAAGTGAAGAGAATTTTTCAAACTCCATAGGCTTGCTTTTCTTATCACTCTCCACTAATGTCGGTCAACAAACCACCAAGGATCAATAGGACTTTATTAAGGTAGGATAAAAGGACATCAATGAGGCTCTAAATTCCCTAAACTCATCAATTACTCTATGATCCTCTTGTAGAACTTCTAACTTACTATCCCAATACATCCGCCATTTGCCATCAACATTCTTGTCTCTACTCTTTATTTCTTTCTATCTCTCTTTTTTTTTAATTTTTTTTTAATTTTTTTCTTTTTCTTTTTCTTTTTTATAAATACAACAAATACAGAATTTTGTTGGAGACGTCAAACAAATTGTAGAAAATATCAATACACCTCCTAATTCTAAGCACAACTCAACGTGCATCCTAGAATAATCAACAAGCTTAAGGGAAAGGGTGAATGATAGGATTTATTTAAAGGCTAAGCTAATAATGTGGATGACGAAGAAAAGTTTAATCAGGTTTAAAGAGGTGACTAGGGATATTATTATAACATGGTAAGCTCAAACGGCTCAAACGATCCAAAAATGGCCTAAATCATTTCCTTAGTGATAAATTGCTTGGGGTTTCGCCTCGAATGATAATCAAACAAGTTCTAGAGTTCGGTGAGATCTTAAGAAACATGAAATTCACATAAACTTTCTCTAAATTCACAAAATGGCTAAGTGCTCTTAGTTATGTGCTCAACAATGCAAGGAAATCATAAGTAGAGCAAAACCAACAAACAAGTCAAGCACACAAACAATCAAATTATTCATTGTCTCCCAGAAACCGTAGTTAAGTTCAATCGTTGTCTCATCATCGGCCGGGGGCGAAACAAACCGAACCAAAGCTCAAGTTTTTTTTTAATAAACTGAATAAAATAACATAAAATAAGATAGTTAACTCTCTCAAACTTAAAATTGACATTGTCCTCAATGGAAAAGTAAAACAAGATAGTGTAGAGGACTTCCCTGAGTAGTTGTCAGTCAGTGTCTTCATTGGGTGCAAGAGGAGGTATGGAAGTTGTAAGGGTTTTTTTTTTTTTTTTACGGAGACAGCGCCAAGGCGCTCCATGGTAGCGCCAAAGCGCTATGTGCTCTGCCACTTTTACCCAAAAGGCTCTATTTTGAGCGCCAAAGCGCTCAGATGAGAGCCAAAACTTACTGCCGCTGCCAAATCTGTGCTTTCATGCCTGCTTGAGCTTCATTTCAATTGCAAATCCTTATAGCAACCCCCAAACTTATTTATTAACCTATCAATCAATTTAAAACACAATGATTCAACTGTAAATAAAATAAATAAATCAATGAAATAAGAGAAAAGATTTTAGAAGGCTCGGGTTGCCTCCCGAGAAGCGCTTAGTTTAACGTCATCAGCCTAACGTCTTGCTTTGTATGGTGAGTTCAGGAGAATGGTGGTCCAAGTCACCATTAATATATGGCTTCAAACATTGTCCATTGACCTTGAATGTTCCCTTTTCATCATGAGTGACTTCAACTGCTCCATAGGAAAATACTCTCACCACGGTAAATGGCCCTGACCATCTAGACTTGAGCTTTCCCAAAAATAAGCACAACCTTGAATTATAGAGCAACACTTGTTGGCCCAGCTTGAACTCTTTTCTTAAGATGTGCTTGTCATGCCAAGCCTTAGTTCGCTCCTTGTAAATCTTGGCTTTCTCATATGCATCATTACGGAACTCATCCATCTCATTAAGCAACTGTGGTTTCTCAATTGATGGAAGAGAGCGTGATGGGCCTCTTTCTAAAGCTTCAAAGTACCTCTGATTGTTAGGTCCAAAAGAATCCATCCAGTGCACAAACTCCATAGCTTCATGATCTTTTATTGCAATAGTTTCTGGATAAATTAGACAAGCTTCCAAAGACTCTTGAGGTTGGCCAAGATGCTCGGTGACTGAGGTGTTAATTGTTTCAATATGAAAACAACTATCACTTGCTTGCGGGTATTTGGGAGCATTAAAAACATTGAAAATCACTTCCTCCTCTTGTACTCTTAGGTGAAGTTCACTCTTTTGCACATCAATAAGAGCCCGACCGATTGCCAAAAATGGTTTCCCAAGTATAATGGGAATTTCCTCGTCTTCTTCTATATCCAAGACAATAAAATCGGCCAGAAATATAAACTTATCAACCTTGACGAGTACATCTTCAATAATTCCTCTCGGGTGTTTGATGGAGCGATCGGCCAATTGTAATGAGACCGTAGTTGGTCTTGCTTCTCCTAGCCCAAGTTTCTTGAAAATTGAGAAATGCATTAAGTTAATGCTTGCACCTAAATCGCATAGGGCCTTTTCAAAAATAGAATTTCTAATAGAATAAGGGATGGTAAAACTCCCCGGGTCTTTGAGCTTCTGAGGCAACTTCCTTTGCAAGATGGCACTGCACGCTTCAGTAAGTGCAACTATTTCATAATCCTCAAGTTTCCTCTTGTTTGATAAGATGTCTTTCATAAACTTCACATAGCTCGGCATTTGTTCAAGAGCTTCGGCGAATGGGATGTTTATGTGCAATTTCTTAAAAATGTCCAAAAACTTTAAAAATTGTTTATCAAGCTTACTCTTCTAAAGGCGTTGAGGAAATGGGATCCTTCGTGATGGCTCCACCGGCAAAGGTTGTTGAGCTGTAGAATTTCACCACTTCTTCTCCAAAGATTGAGTATCTTTGGGTGACGAAGCCTCTTCACTACTTTTGCTAGACCTCTTAGGCTCTAGGAGTGTGTTTAATTCTTTCATGCTTCTCAAAGTAATGGCCTTGCATTGCTCTATTGGATTCACCACCGTTGTACTTGACAAATTACCTTGTTGACGATCATTTAGCATGTTAGCCAATTGACCGATTTGCACCTCCAAGCTTCTAATCTGAGCCGATTGATTCTAGAAATTTATCACAGTTTCATTCATAAATTGTGTGTGAGAGGTAGCCAATTGAGCCATTACATCTTCCAGATTCACCTTCTCCTCTTGTGGTGGGTTGCTCTGTTCGGACTGCAACACATTTTGAGTGTTTCTCCAAGACAAGTTTGGGTGATTACACCATCCTTGATTAAACCTGTTGGAGTAAGGATTGTTCTGTTGCCTATTAAAATTTCCCAAATATTGAGCCTGCTCCATTTGTACCTGTGCAAAAGGGTTGTCAGCTTGACATTCAGAACCTTAATGAGGCCGCCCATTAGAAAATTCACAAACTGGAGATGATGCTTCAATAACATTAGCTGTCAGATAATTATTTTGTAATTGTTTAGAAAGAGAAGCAATTTGGGCCGTGAGTTTAGTGATGGCATCTATCTCATGTACTCCGGCTATCTTCTTTGGTATGTTTCTTTCACTAGGCCACTGGTAATTATTGGTTGCCATATCTTCTAGCAACTCATATGCTTCATCTTCGATTTTCTTCATTAAAGCTTCTCTTGCCGATGCATCAATTAAAGTTCTTGTAATGCCACTCAACCCATTGTAGAAATTATGGACTTGCATCCATTTTGGTAAACCATAATGAGGACATCTTCTCAGTAACTCCTTGTATCTCTCTCATGCTTCATATAGAGTTTCACCTTCATATTGAGCAAAATTGTTAATCTCGATACGCATCTTCGTTGTTTTAGTCGGTGGGAAAAACTTAGAAAGGAACTTCTGAACTAAGTCTTCCCAACTAGTGATTGAATTTGGCGGCAATGAATTCAACCAACTTTTTGCTTTATCTCTCAAAGAGAAAGGAAACAAACGAAGGCGAAGAGTTTCATCATTAATTCTATTGTATTTGACAGTATCGCAAATCTCCAGAAAATTTGTGATGTGAGCATTAGGATCTTCATTCGGCAATCCATTAAATTGGATCACTTAAATCATCTGCAACATCACCGGCTTCAATTCAAAATTATTCGCCTGAATAGCAGGTTTTTTGATCACTGATTGAACACCGGTTGGTGGCAATGCATAATCTCACAAAGCCATTGGCTTATTGACCACCGGTGGATTGTTCAGTGGTATGTTGTTGTTGTTGTTGTTGTTCTCATTTATTGCCCCTTCAGGATCAGCCATAGTTCCTTGCGACTGAATGGCCGTTTCTCTTCTATTTTCTTTTTCTTCGACAAGTACGCTCAATTTCTGAATGAAGAGGAAGTAGAATACTGCTCCCAAACTTTCGCATGCACGTAGAGAAAATTCCTATAGAGCACAAAACAAGAACAAGAAAATAAATAACAAAATAAAATCCAAAGTAAAACTAGAGTTATTTGGTATCGATACTAGTAAAAATAAAACAATCCCAGCAACGGCGCCAAAAACTTATTGTGAAAAATCATAACGCAAGTATATGTTATCGCAATCAAGTAATACAATAGTGAATAAGAGTATTATCCCACAAGGATTGTTGTTTACTAATTACCGAAATTATATTAACTCCAATTTTATTTGAATAATTGAAAAGATAGTTTATAAAATTAAGTAAAGCAAAACTAAAACAATTAAATAAATTAAACAATGCTAAGCAATGGAAGAAAATTCAATAGATTAAGACTATAGGGTTTCCGACTTCACCATAATTAACCATGTTCAAATTCCCACAATTCAAGAAAATTAACATTCAATCCTTTACTGACAGCAATTTCTCTAAAGATATTATTATTCTTTCTTAAGCAACAATAATTTTAATACAACAAGCAAACTCTACATCTCTGTTAGACTTCTAAACCTTTTAAAAATCATTACGTGTAAGAAATTTAAAAGAACTGCACAAGCATCATAGATATCTCTATCCTATGAACAACTCATGGTATTTCAATTAAGAGCTTATTTAATTATCACCTCTCAGTCTTAAATCAAATACAAAATCATGTCATCGTTGGCCAAACAATCACAAGCATTAAGAATAAATTCAAATACTCAGCATATATGGATTAAACATCAATTACTTAAAAAGAAGATTGAGAATCTGAACATTCATAATTCGGCTACATCGCAGCCCTAGAAAAAGAAATTAGTTCATCTCTAAACAAAATAAATTCCTAAACAAAGTCTTAATCATTGGAAAGGAAAGAAAAGAACTAGTTTGGAGTTGAATTGAAGCGTCTTCGTCTTCGGATTTTTGTCGTTCTTCTTCTCCGTACTCAATTTTCCTTTCTCTTCTTGAATCTCCTCTCAAAATTCAGCTGTCACTCTCCAGTCTAAAAGTCCCTTTTAATTGCCCTAGAATCATCTATTTATATGTTTTGAAGCATTAGGGTCAAAACGGGTAAGTTTTCTCACGATTGGCCTTCAAAACGTGTCTTTTCTCAAGTCATAGCGCCGCGGCGCTGAGTTCCTAGCGCTACGGCGCTGGCTATGCAAAAATCAGCACCAATCATCAATTTTTAGAGTGCTGCGGCGCTGTCATAGGCGCCAAAACACTACTCATTCTGTCCACATGTATTGGTTCCGTAAAACTCAGTGCCAAAATGCTACAAATTGGTGCCTAAACGTTGTGTTTGCTGTCTTTTTTTCCACCACAAGTTATCTAAAACCTTCCAAATCATAGACTTTCACCTAACCTTCAAACAAAGAACAAAAGCACACATAAAAAATAATAAAACCCTCAAAAACCAACTAGATATTAAGTGTAAAATGATACTAAATGAGCGAGTAAAACTCACTCATCAAGTATCCTCGGGGGCAGAACCCGAAACCCAAACCGGGCACTACGGTGGTGTTAAGGCTTGTGCTTGTGGCTGTGTAAGTAATTTATCATAGTATAAATTACTTGCTGATGCCTGTAATACGGAATTTAATGTTTATACTTCCTTTCAGAAAAAGGGATGTTAGGTTCCGGCTATTGTGTTGAAGCTGAATATCATTATTTACTTACTCATTCATTTATTTACATGTTTATAAAGTTTTCTTAAAATACACATACTAGGCCTTTCGCTCACTTTTCTTCTATTTTTAATATTTTAACCCCTCCCTCCAAAGTTAGCGGTTTAGATTTATAGCATGGCAAGTGGATGCTAATAGATTGAAGCCGCGAGATTCGAAGTGGTTAGTTTTTTCTGAATTTACAGTTTTTAAATTCTAAAGTTGTACTGTATATTTGTATATAATATGTATTGGTCGGCATTGTCCCTGAGATGTGTAAAGTTTAGATTTGTAGACTGTTTTGATATTACTTGTAAAAGAAAGTCTCTAAAGCAAAATATATTGATATTTAAGTATTTATTTTTGTGATTTTTGTTAAACAGTCGAGTTTAATAAGTTAATTTTCTTTAATTAAACTCTAATAATCACGGTCTCATCTTTGGGGTCGTGACAGTTTGGTATCAGAGCACGGCTTCGAATTATGTGGGAAATCGAGCCTGTGTAAGTTTTCTATTGAGTTTTCTTGTTCTTTTAACAGTTTTGTATGTCGTTAAATACTAGTTAATACATGATACAGTTACACTTGAGAATTTGACGTCAGAGCTTGTTACATTTTTCTAAAACACTTCGATGGATAGATTCCATGTTCCTATATCAATGTTCATCGATATGAAACTTAAAATCAAAGTTTGACTTTGAAACTCTCATGAAGTTTTCATTTTGATCCAATGTAATGGATTTGTTTCCACAAGTGATATTGACTCTTGTCAGTTTCAAATTCAAAATCAGTATTGACTTCAAAATTCTCATGAGGATTTCAGTTTTAAGATATTCGTTCTGACTTCCGTGTAGTTGAATTCTCGATTTTGGTTCATTCCACCTTTCGACACATCTAATGTGGGAGTTTAAGTCGATGGATAGCGACGACTTAAAATTGAGCAGTCTTAATCGTTAAAGTTTCTTTCCTCCTTGTTTGGTTCTTTCCAATTTGATCAATGCGCAAGTTTAGTCTTGCAATCTAGCTTTGTATCCTAGCTACTCATTTCAATTCATTGATGCACTCTTTTATCTCTTGAGAGAGTTTTGCTCAAGAGTGTTTACTTCATGGGTTCTTCTATTGATGAGACATCGTTCTTTCTTCGATTGATGACAATGATGGCTACAAACCCCGTCGAGAGATTGACGTCTATCTCTGATATTAATTATGTTCGACCTTGTTTGGAAGCGTAGTAAGTCATAACCCACAGGTTCTAAGATTCTAACTTCGGATTCCTTTCTTAATTTGTTTTGACCAGGAGTTGGTCTCTTCGTTATTATTAAACGTATTGAATCGTGTCATCATTCTATCATAGTCCTATGTCACTCAAGAATCGAAATTCTTTTTTGTCTCGAGTGTTAGTCTCGGTGATTCCCTCGTTAACTTGAACCATGCATTGTAAGACATTGACTATGAATATTAATCCTATACCATTCTTTGCCATTTTCGCTTTTGGGATTCTAATTTCGAGTTATATTCTTAATCTGTTTTGAACTGGAGTTGGACTTTCTACTTGATAACCGTATTTTGACTCCTATTATCTTTCTATCATGAATCAATGTTATTCTAAGATCAAGACTACTCCTTGTTTCGAATGTTAGTCCCGGTGATTTCCTTCCTAATACGAAAACATGTCATAACGTTCATTTTCTTTCGAGTGTACGGTTATCATTGGTGTGAGACTTGTAGTCAATCTTAGCTTCGAAAATCCTTGTTCAGTCACTGGATTTTAGAGATTTAATCGTTATTTAATTTCATATTTATCTGATATTAAATTCCTATTTGTTATTCTTTTAGAGTCAAATTTGACTATGGAAATTTCTTCGACTTTCTAGATTCCAAGTCGATGATTGACGTTCTTATGTTTGATCATCCCCAGAATTGAGTGTCTCTATTCCAGTGGTTGGAAGTATATGTTGTTGATTGACTTCTAGCTGGACTTGATAATATTTCGGATATGATATTCCTAGATGACAAAGCATTTTCATGTCTCATTCTATAATTCTGAAACTGATAAAGACTCGAATGAGATGAGTGGTCCTATTTTATTGAGATTGGAATTTCATTTCTTTCTCATTGATAGAATGATTGAGTGTGACAACCGATATTATAATGCTGCCAGCAGAGTCGCAAGATGGATCTTCATTTCCATCGTTTGACATGTGTGAATCCACAAAAAAAAAATGCGTAGAAAGTCCTAGTTCATTGGTTTCAGGATGCCTATCATAGCGAATTATCGTATTCGCATTTTTCCGCATATTCCAAGTGGTGTTTTAAATGAATGAACTTCTTTAGCAATTTATGTTGAGTCTCCTCGAACTTGAGGTGTTGGGTTTCATTATCCTAGATAGATGCCTTGGTAATAGATCTCTTGATAATTTCATGTGAACCATTAACCTATAAGCATTACAACAGAAAAGTTCATTTGCGGCGATGCCATGTCGTAAATAATTGATTTGTCGTAGCAAACTAGTCGCCGTAAAAAGTTTGACGTAAATAATATATTTGTGACAATGTAGTTTTAAACGTCGTCGCAAATATATTAATGACGACAGTTATAGTAAATAAGTCGTCACGAATGTTCTGTCGAATATGTTGATGATGATATGTCCTAAATTATTTACGACGACAAATGTCGTCGCAAAAGATTTTGAAACATTTTGCGACGACAAATCTAAAGTGTCGTCGCTAGTAATTTAAACTATTTACGACGACATAAGATTTGTCGTCGCAAAAATTATTTTTTTTCCCGTACTTATTAAATATATATAAATTAGAAAAAAATTTAATAATAAAATAAAATAATAAAATTAATATTGTTAATAAATAATTTATATAAAATAGTCAACACAATAATAAAATAAGTCTTAAAAAGTAAATTAATAAAAAAATATTAAAAAAATATTAATAATAAAAAAATAAAAACATATATTTTAATCTCCTAAATTAGCAACATTATCGTCTTCATCCTCGTATTCTTTGTTTCGCTCAGGCGGCGGAGGAACCAACGGTTAGGGACGGTTAACTGGCAAAATATGTTAGGATTCATCGAGCGCATGACTTCCATCATGATCTGCTGGTTGTCGAACATGTTGCATTGCTGGATGTAGAGGTTGTTCAATCAGTTTTTGACATGCTGTGGCAAATTAACCAAAGATGACCCGTTCGATTGCGAAGCAGATAATGAAGTGGAAGCGCTTGAACAATTCCTCTGTGACAATGTCGGTCCCACTCTCTTAGTGTGTCCTCTGCGCTTACCCAAGACTTGGGACATAATCCTCTCCTCATTGACCGCCGTGGATGAACATTCTCCATCAGACTGTATCATCTGCGTTGTTCTTTCCACTTCCATCTGAGCCTACAAAGGTAAATGAAATAAAAATAGTATGATATGTTATGTTAAATATGAAAAAAGAAATAAATTTAAAATTTACTTCCAAATGTCTGTTTTGCGTCCGGATTGATAAAATTTTGTCTATGGCAGTGCATGTAACCCCAATTATCAATTAATGATCTTAGCTCCTAGGTCTCGGGATTTGCCTAATCAAGTTGAACGTGTTAAAATAAATATTAAGCTAAAGTGACAAAAACTGAACAAGTATGCAAATTAATATTACCTTACCGAAACGATACTGTGAGTATGACTTTCTACCATGGAAGCTAGACCACTTTTGACTGTCACGGTATTGTTGATTTGTAACAGATTTTTTCTAGTAATGATCATAGATGAATTAGTAACATACTTAATAATTAAATAAATCAATTAATTATAAGTAAGAAGACATAATGAAATTGAACATGAAAAACATGGGACGTAAAACGATCACAACATGATCTCCATTGCTCTTTTCTCTTAAAGTTTTTAGGAGGATTTTGCCTGACAAAATCCTCATTTTCTGCCCCTCCCATCTTCTGAAAGTGTATGTGCAAGGTAATCTTTCAGTCCTTATAACATTTACTGGCTTTACGGTCGACTACATCTCTAATGATGCCGTTGTTGCGGTCATAGTCAAGGTTAAACCAATCTTGGATTACATTAAAAAATTAACAAAAAATCTTATTTATTGTATCCATAATTAAAAATTTTTAGAACAAATTTTGTTTCAAATAGATACCAACATACGATTTTGAATCCTCCTTTTGTGCTCCTCAGGCATGTCCTTCCAGGCGTTGTAGTGTGGGTCACATATATCTCTTATGTGCAAGCCGACAGCACTGTCAAAATATTTAGTGTTTTTGCCAATCGCCTTCCACAAACCTATCTCGTCAAATAAGACAAAAAACTTCCTATCTTTTTGTACTTTCTCCACTATATCTCGACCTATAGCTACTCCTCGACTAGATTGACGTTGAGATGTCAGCTCTAGAACTGTAAGAATAAAAATAACAAAATTTGATTATAGAAAGTTCGACAAGTAACAAGTTTTGGGCGTATGTGTGATAGCGTATAATACCTGACTGACAATGTGTCGGGAGTCTCGTCGGATCAGGTTGGTCGTATAATACAGAGTCGGCGTATGTAGATACTGGACCAAACATCGAGACGCTGTATCATAAAAAAAAAAATTTATTAGAAAACACTTATGGTTGAAGAGAAGTCATGTTTCCAAAACCTTCTGGAATGGATCCATCTAGCTTATTGCCGCTAAGATCAAGTTGTACAAGGGCAATCATATTCCCAAAAGATTTTGGAATGGGGCCTCCTAATTGATTGCTTCTAAACTCATATCCTAATTGACTGCTTCTAGGATCATATCCTATTTCACCGCCTCTAAGACTAAGGTATTTAAGAGAGGTCATATTCCCAAAAGATTTTGGAATGGGGCCTCCTAATTGATTGCTTCTAAACTCATATCCTAATTGACTGCTTCTAGGATCATATCCTATTTCACCGCCTCTAAGACTAAGGTATTTAAGAGAGGTCATATTCCCAAAAGAGTTCGGAATAGAACCTTGTAATCCATTGCCAACAAGATAAAGGGATTCAAGAGCAGCCAAATTCCCTAAAGCTTCCGGAATGGAAGCATTCAACATAGAATAAGAGAGGTCAAGATGAACAAGGCTACTATAGTTGCACAACCATTGAAATACTGAAGCAGAGAGTAGGTTTACAGAAAGATCAAGGACGGTGAGAAGCTTTGAAGAATTAAACAAAGGAAAAAGACGGAGGAAGTATATTGGGAAGTTTAGAATTACTTAACTTCAAATTTGTCAAGCGGGGAAGGTTGTTGACAACATGCACCCAATCATGAGCCATCCTCATATTTGTGCCGGTAAGGTCAAGCAGTCGAAAAGAAGAAAGACGCGAAATCGACTCTAGGCTTTTTATCGTTAGATAAGTATCACTGAGATCTAGATATTGCAAATTGGATAAATTTCCAAGCTGAGGAGGAATTTCTCCAAGTAGTAAAGCTTTTGAAAGATTGAGGTACCTTAGCTCGCTAATCCTACTGATAAAACTTAGGTTGGTCGTGTTTTCAACTATGAGGCGGAAACCACTCGAGTCTAAATACTTCAAGTAGTGCAAGTCAACCAATGAAGGACAAATTTTTCTTAAAATTTCAACAATCTCAACATCAAATTTCAACAATCTCAAAATTCATAATCTAAAATTCAATCTATAATCCATAATTCAACTATCTCAGGAGCAGAATCTGAAACTCAGACCGGACCACTACGGTAGTGTTAAGACTTGTGCTTGTAGTTGTGTGAGTAATTTATCATAATATAAATTACTTGCTGATGCCTGTAATACAAAATTTAAAGTTTATACTCCCTTTCAAAAAAAAGGATGTTAAGTTTCGACTATTGTGTTAGAATTGAATATCTTTATTTACTTACTCATTCATGTATTTACTTGTTTATAAAGTTTTCTTAAAATACATCATACTGGGTCTTTCGCTCACTTTTCCTCTATTTTTAATGTTTTAACCCCTCCCTCCAGAGTTAGCGGTTTAGATTTACAGCATGACAAGTGGATGCTTTACAATTTTTAAATTCTAAAATTATACTATATATTTGTTTATGATCTGTATTGGTCGGTATTGTCTCTGAAATGTGTAAAGTTTAAATTTATGGACTGTTTTGATATTATTTATAAAAAAAAAAATCTCTGGAGTAAAATATATTGATATTTATGTATTTATTTTTGTGTTTTTATTAAACAATCCAGTTTAATTAAGTTAATTTTTTTTCATTACATTCTAATAATCACAGTCTCATCTTTGTGGTCGTGACACCAAACTTAAAACCAATCATAGGACCTTAAAGAACTTCATAATCATCCATAATTCAAAGAGTACAATTGTCTAAAAGATCTTCAATAATGATGATATATCACAAATCACTCTACATATTTCGATTATTATATGTAAAATTCAGTCTCAACAATTCAAAAGCTTAGATTAAAATTCAGAAAAAAACCGTAAACCAATATCAAGTGGTCCAAGAAATGCATATTAGATCTCTCGGAGCACCCATCAACATGAATCTAAATTCAGTAATGAGCAACCAAAATTTCAAATTTTGAACAGAGAAACCCTTGAATCTAGATATGATTGAAAGAACAAAAAGGCATGTCCGATCTGCAAGGTCAAAAATCAAACACACCAAGCTCGGGAAAAGAAAAACAAACAAAAACCAGATAAAAATCTCACCATTGAAAATCCTTTAAACAAAACAAAGTTTCAACGGATCCGAATAGAAAATGTTAAAAACATAGGAAAAAAATTTGAAGAATTTCAGTAATGGATTGTTACCTCTGGTGAGCGATTGGAGGCTGCGAGGGTTTTTCTAGGTCTCCGTCTAGAGAGAGAAAGTGACGGAGAGAGAGAGAAGATAATTTTGTGTAGGCGAAGACGAAGCTTTGAAATGAGCGAAAATGGGCATTTTATTGGCTGGTTGATGAGTCTCCTACGACTACACGTGGACGGTTTTGATTGGGTTTTTATAGAAAAAATTTTGGACATGTTCTTTTGTGCAAAAAAACTCAAGTTAACGCATTTGTCTCGTGAACTGAATTCAAGTGAGAAGTACGGTGAATGATGTTAATCACCGTTACCTGATCGCTCTCTCCTTCTCGATGCGTGACAGACGGCTGCGATCATTGCGTTACATGCTTGGGCTTGATCTCTATTTTGGTGTTCAGAGATTCCATCTAGCCCATTTTTCTTGGTTCCAAGTTGATTCGGGCCATGACCAGTTTTAGTTGCTTCGGCCCTTTTTAAGGTTTTGGGCCCAATAAGCAAGTGATTTTGGGTATTTAGGAAGGATGAATAAAGAAAAAAAGAAAATATAACACAGTCGGATTTTTACTCCTATTTTTTATTAATATTTTTTTATTAGTATAGTTATTTGATTAAAAAGATTATTAATTAAGAATAAGAGATAAAAAAATCATAATCTATGCACTCTTAAAGGGTATTTGTTTCTTTTCCTTAATAAAAAAGGGAAGAGAAAACTAAAAATGCGATAACTTTAACTTATGGCATGTGTTGGTTCATAATTTTGAATTGAAATTAATTTTTTAAGAGCAAACATTGTAGCAAAAGGTTTGAATTGTTGTAGTTCACGCCTATAAGCTAAACAACAGGTAAATACTTTACTTTTGTGTAATTTTCTTAGAATTATGCTCTATTATTCAAAAAAAATTAAGGGTTATAAGATATAGCATAAATATTTATGTCCCGACATTCCTCTTGGGGAAAATTAATTTGTGCATAGCACTTTAGGAGTTAGGACTACTTAACTATTAACGGCCTTCTTTTTTGGGGACGAAATTCTAAGCCCTCTAAACCCCAACAAACTTACAAAGTAATAGATTTTGGTGTAATTTATTTCATAAGTTATAGTGTTTTCTCTCACAAAAGATTTGAAATTATATTCAAATCTATAAACTAAACGATGCATCAAATTGAGATTAGTTATCCACTAAAAATTAATTGAATCGGATTGACCAATTATTCAGTCAATTGGATCTAAATATGATCATCCCCATAAGACAAAAAGAAGGTCATTTTTATTTGTATCTAAAAAAGAAAAACCGGAGACAAAGTCCGATTATCAAGCTGGAGCTAGAAACAAAAGGGAGGAAATAATAGCACTTTATCGTTACTGCCATTAATATCATGGTGATGGGGTTCCATGGCCCATTGACATCAGAGAATATGTAAAGCTTTTTCTAGCCTATGCTTCAACCTTGATTATAATAATCGTTCATCAGAAAAATATTGTTTATTTTTCACTATATTCGCGGGATATGCCTCTTTTGAAAACATCACAACAAGTCTTCGGTTATCTAAATTTGAAATTTTTGGATAAGCTAGTTCTTCCTCAAAATCTTTTTTCTTTTTTTTTTTTTTTTGATAAATTTTAAAAATTCTCCATGAACTATGTGGGCGTCTGTTGGCTTTTAATGATAAAATAAAAGGCCCTTAGGTGTTTTTTCTGAGAGATTGAATTTTTTTTTCTTACCAACATCTTCTACAAGCGTTACCACTTTGTCAATATCTTTTGTCCCGTGAAGTCTCTCCTCTTTATAGTTGAATTGGTGGGGAATATTCTTCAGAATTTTTTCAGGTATATATGCCCTTTTCAGCTACATGAATGATTACATATTCAGCTCTTTCCTTCTCTATTATTTGAGTCGTGCTTTAAAATAAAAAATAAAAAAAAGGTAACTTTACACACAAATGCATATATGTGTGTACATGAGAGAAATCGAATTCTATATTAATATAGTTAAGAAAAATATGCATCCAGCCAGTAGTCCGATGAATAGTTTAGATTTCCATCAAATGATGTTAGAATTTATACTCTTTTAATTAAACTGTATTCTTTTATACTATATGACAAAATGTTCAATATAAACTCCCATGAAAAAAAAAAACTCTCTCTCTCTTTCTATATAGATATGATGTAAACAAAGTGCGCAAAAATGGGCTTCAAGAATCAAAAAGAGAATCTGTCTCCAATATAATCTTTTACAATGAGAGTGTTTCATTGAAAGGTCCATTTGTTCTGCCACTCTAGCTATATCTCACCGTGACCATCTATAACTACTCCAGATGTGGTTATCTAATATAAATTGACCCTTTCTCACATGATATCATATCACAACTTTTAAAAAAAAAACAAAAAAAAAAATCCTAATTTTTGGGGCAGTACTCACGTGTATGTGTGTATCATAAAAAAGAAAATGGATTTTGTCTTTAAAATCTGTCGGAAACTTTGAATAATGTAACAATATTTGGTATTCAATCTCATTCCAATAGTTGCCCGACAATGAAATGGATCATCTAAGTTCTTCATTCTCCAATCAACTCAATATGTGGCCTATATATATTGTTGGTATTGTATTTCTCACAAATTATATATATATATATATATATATATATAGCTTGTTCTATCACACGATCGTTCCATTGGATTGGACCCAATTGTAATAAGAATTTTTTTAAAAATGAAAAATCTTTGGAAACATTTCGTTCATTTTGAAACCAACCCATAAACTTATTTACCTTTTAGTAATACGTAATAGGAAGATAAAGATAATAGATAATAAATAATTTAAAAGTGCAATTTTAATCTTATATTGGCATAAAAAGCACTTTTATTAATTTTTGATGGAGTTAAAACTCCGTTACTTAATAAAAGTTGATCCCATTAAGTTAGTAGGTGGAACCTATGGTTTTGCTTGAGAGTTCTGGAGTCCCACATGGAAAAATTACTACTCTCAATATGTGTGTGTGGATAATAAAGCCTAAAGTCTTTTTCCATGGGTAATTATATTTTAGGCTTTTTGAAAACTTTCTTTTTTAAATAAATTTTGACTATTTGAATAGTTAAAATTTAATTAGAAAACCTAGTTTAAAATTTTTTATATTCAATTCTTAAAAGTGGAGCTTTTTCTACTTTGGCTTTTTGAACGTTTAAAATTTTCTGAATTTTAACTATGAAATTAGTTAAAATTTAAGAAATAGAACATTTTAGACTTTTTTCTTTTGCTAAATTGATTGGAACTGATCAGTTAAAAAATGATCATTGTCGGTAGGTTAACTGACCGATTTCTTTAATTATCGGTTTGGTTTCGGTTCTTATTTTCTAAAAGTGATTGAACCGATCAAAATTGTGGGTTTCAAACCAATGAACAACCCTAGCCCTACCTATCAAGTACAAAAATTTAAGGGGGCGTTTGGTATGCAATAATCTTAAGGATGGGAATGAGAATGTGTAATATTACCATATTTGGTACAAGAATTATGATTTTTAAATTCCCAGGAAAGTGATTACCATGGGATTCACTTTTTCTCATTTTGAGGTAATTTGAATACCACCCAACATGGTGTTATTCAAATTTTTTGGTAGAAAAAAAATCTTGGTCACAACAAGTTTTAACCCTCAAACACACCCACTAAGAAAAACATTAACGAATGTATTTATGAATAATCTAGCTGCCACTTTGTAGTAAATATAGGATGTATCTTTGCATAGCTAAAATAGAATCTATATACGCTGTCTTATTTTTTTTTTTTTTCCTCATTGATCGTCCTCTGAGTATTATTTTGACAACTCATTCAATGGCTCAAGTATTTTTAGGATTAATATTTTTATTATATGATCAATTTTTAAATTTAGATTATCTGACTAAATAGTATTAAGTGGAACTATTAATAAGGTCGTAGAAAGCCGCAAATTGAAGTAGCGAAAACACTCGTCATTAATGTGTTTTTAAATGAAACGTCGTAATACTGAAATATTATACAAGCCCAACAAAATATATGATGGTTATAAATACACAATATTAGTAGTGATTGAGTGACTGTTTTTAATATCATATATATAAGAATTGTCTTAAGTTTAAGATAAAACGAATCAAGTACATGTTACTATATATCTATTGATAACACTCTGTTTTAATGTAATCTAATACATGTTAGACGGACATACGAAGAAAGTAATATATACAAACAAATATATATATATATATAAACATATATATATATATGTCATGAATGGATGTTGAATGGTAAAAGATGTAGGGTGAGGAATTGGAGAGAATATAGACAGGCCAATCCACGCATAAGATGTAGGGGGCTGACAGTTTCAGAAGAATGCGGTGGAATTGATAGTTTGCTCTGTATTCATGCAGAGAAGGCAATAATTGCACTAGTTGAAGTTAGAGAAACAAATAGCTATTGCTTGGGTTAAGGATATGGACCAACTTGATGTGGCTAGGACCATTTGACACGTCTCTTTCTCACTACAAAACCATGTCCCATTTGCCCATGCAGTTTTGTTTATATATACACACACATTTATATATTTAGAGAGACTTGTATGTATGACGAGCTACATATATATAAAAACTAGTTGTATATATTAAGCAACTATATTTAGCTACTCAGATTTTATCATCTTATGTGCATATGTTTTCTCTAATTATAATCTAATTTTAAACGATAATAACTAGCATCATATTAGATAGAATTTCTATATCTCATCATATATACACACAGATATATATATATGTATGATTTCTGAATGCACTGCTAGCTAGGGACCCCATGTAATTGTACATCTGGCCATCTAGTGAGATCTGGGTTAGGATGCTCTGTGGAGAAAGAGAGAGGGAGAAAGTAACCACTCAACTACGTACTGCAATTTGGTAATTTTGCAGGCCAGTGAGCAATATGTTTGATTGCTGTACTATATATATATACACACTCACAACAATGAGGGTACATATAAATATAGCTAGCTTGTTGGTTAGACATACTCTTTGAATATCTCTTCTGATTCCTCATAATTGTAGACGACAATTGGGCTATATATGAGTTTTTCGGATGCAAAAGTGATTCTCCAAACAGTTATCAATTTAGGATT